AAGGTGGGCATGAGAAGATATGAAAGGAGGATGGTAAAAGGATGAAGCTGGAGCAGGGAAACCTCTGTAATTAAAGCATTCGGAAAGGCTGGACTTCTTCCAAAAATATGTAAGTGATGGAAGTTTGGGAGGCGAGGTGCTGATGTGACAGAGGAAAGGGGTTGCAATGAAGGTACATAGGAAGTTATGGTGGAAATGTGTAGGGCAAGTAATAAAACAATAACAAAGAGCTGGTTTTCTGGGAAAGATTCTTATATTCTTATGCCTAACATAAGAATGAGCCTTAGTAACACAATGGTTACAAACGTGGCTGCTAACTGAAAGGTCGGCGATTTAAATCCACCAAATGCTCTGTGGGAGAAAGATGCGGCAGCCTGCTTCAGTAGAGATTGCTTTTGCTGCTAATAAGTACCGTAGAATCAGTTCCAATTCATAGCAACTCTATATAACAGGATTTCTGAGGAGTGGCTGGTGGGTTTGAACCACTGTCCTTGTGGTTAGCAGTACTCCTCTGTAAAGACTGCAGCCTTGGAAGCCCTATGGGTTATAATCAACATGACAGCACACGACAACGCAACATGGATTTGCATTCAGCTTGATGTAGCGTCATAATTAGTATTTTCTGACATTAATGGGAAGATTGATGTGAGACACTACAGAGCAAGGATGATAGCTGCAGGACACCAGGATTTCAAATGTACGGTAAACAACAAAGAAAGTCTACCCTTCATTTCCTTATAGTGTACCATGAACTATACCACATAGCAATGATGCTGAGGAGAGGCAGGTGAGAGCTGAGGTAGATCTGAAGGAAAGAGTTACTATACTTGGGATTTAGAACTACAAGGGAATAAAATAGATGACCTTCAGCTCAACTTCAAACAAACATCAACCAACTAATAAAAACTAATAACTGGTGACTTTGGTTGTTGTTGTTGTTAAGTGCTATTGAGTCGGTTCCAAGCCATAGCGACCCAATATAGGGTCAAGGAGCAGCTGGTGAGCTTGAACCACTGACCTTGCAGTTCAAACGGCTTTGCAGTGTGGCACATTAACCCATAGCAGATGACTTTGATATGCACTATTACATCAACAAAATTAAAATTTATACATATTTTTGTATTTCTTTAGACATTTCATTTTTTATATGATTATAAATAGATTTAAAATATATATGTTCCCTTGTCCACTATTGATATATGAGTATAAGTTTCCTAGAGCTGCTGTAACAAAGTACCACAAACCAAGTGACTTAAACAACAGAGATTTATTTTTCCGTAGTTGTGGAAGAGTCCTGGTGTGGCACTGTAGGATAAGCACTGGACTGCTTACCACAAGATTGGTGGTTCAAATCCACCAACTGCTTCTGAGAAACCCAATTTAGGGTCACTATGAGTCAGAAGCAACTCAAGGGCACTTAACAACAAAATAGCTGTGGAGGCTAGAAGTCAAGATGTCAGGCATGTTGATTCAACCAGAGGGTTCTGAGGAATTATCTATTCCATGTATCTCTTCTAGTTTATGGTTATGGCAAGCAATCTTTGTAATTTCTTAGCTTGTGGCAACGTAACTCCAAACTCTGCCTACATCTGCATTTGACTGTCTTCCTTTTGTGTATATCTGTATCTCTTCTCCTCTTATTATAATTACACCAGCCATATGGATTAGGGTCCAGTTCACTCCACTCCAGTATGGCCTCATTAACTAATTATATTTGCAAAGAGATTATTTCCAAAGATGATCATATTCCCAGGTATCAGAAGCTGGAACTTCAATATTCCTTTTAAGGGACACAAATCAACCTATAATAGTTACTATGTAGAAATTCATTGATTTTCATATACTGATTTTGTATCCTATGACCTTGCTCAATTCACCTGTCATTTCTGAGTTGTTGGGTTTTGTTTTTTGTAGATTTCTTAGAATTTACATATATGCAGTCATGTAATCTATAAGTAGTTTAACTTCTGTTTCAGTTTGCATGCCCTTTACTATTTTTTCTTGTCTTATTGCACTGGCTCAGACTTCTAAAACAATTTTCAACAGTAAACATCCTGTTTCTTCTTCCAAATCAAAGGAGGAAAGCATTCACTGAATTTTTATGCAAATTACACACACACTCTGTTTGCTTGCCTGCCACACCCTACGCTAACTTTTTACAGCAATGCTGATTTTTATTTTACAGAAACATGTGTTGCCATAGCACACTATGAACGTACCTATTCCCAGGGTGCAGCTGGCAAACAAATGTAGACCATAGAATGCATGCATGCATTATTTGTATAAAAATGTGGTAACCTTTTATCTTTTAACTTTAAAGTTAGCACTAGCGCTTCACAGATCCCTTTTATCTATTTGAGGACTTTTCATGTTATTCATAGTTTTGTCATGAATGGGTAATGAATTTTGTCAAATTTTTTTCCCCTTTTTTTTTACAGTTACCAAGATGATTATGTGGTCCTGGTGTGGTGTGGTAGGATAAGCACTGGACCACAAGGCCAGTTGAAACCGTAAGGTCAGCAGTTCAAATTCACCAGCTGCTCCTCGGAAATGGTAGAGTATCACTATGAGTTGGAACCAACTTGACAACAACAACATGATTATAGGGTTTTCCATTTATTCTGCAAATACAGTGAATCACTTTATTTTGTTTCCAAATGTGCTTACTTGGGTTATGATATATTACCCTTTTCATAGATTGTTGGGCTTAATTTGTTAAGTGTTTTTATATCTATGTTCATGGAAAATGCTGATCTATGATTTTCTTTTCTCCTCATAGCTGGTAGCATACTTTCAGCTTTCTTTTGTCTGAAAACGTCTTCATTTTGCATGCTATTTTGGAGACACGTTTGCCAGGCATACAATTCTGTATTGACTTTTTTCTTTCAGCACTTTACCAACAGCCACTTCCCTGAATTGTGATTTGTATTTATGTCTCATGAGAAGTCAGTGGCATCTTTACCACTGTTCCCCACACGTTGTGAATCATTTTTTTCCTGTCAGTTTTTAAATTTTGGTTTTCAGCAACTTGATTATAATACGCCTAGGTGGTGAGGTTTTCTCTTTATCCTGCCTGAGGTTCACTGAGCTTCCTGGATTGGGGGCTTCAGGCTTTTCATTGGCTTTGGAAAAATTCCTCCCACTGTTTCTTTACATGTTGTTCTGCCCTGTTCTTTTATCTCTCTTTTAGGATTTCAGTTGCTTTCATATTAAACTTCTTGATATTATCTTATGGTTCACTGAAGCAAAAGTTTTATTTTTTTCTTTCAGCCTTTTTCCCCTTCATACTTCTGCATGGGTAGATTTTTACTGCTCTGTCTCCAACTTCACTTAACTTCTACATTGTCTAGTTACTGTTAATCTCACCTAGTGAATATTTTACTTCAGATATTTTATATTTCAGGTCTTAAATTTCCATTCTTGTCCTCCAAACCCCACTCCAGTTGCCATTTTTTTCTATTAAGAATTCCTCTCATTAGGTTCATTTTATTTCCCTTTGAATCTTTGAGTACATTTTTGACAACGATTTCAGCCTTCCCTTGTTAATCCGATCATATGCTTCTTCTATAGATGACTTTCATACTCTTTTGTATGGATGTGTGACATAAATACCACATTGTTGAGTGTCTGGACTTTATAGTATTCCTCAGTTGAATGTTGGATTGTGTTCTGGTTGCCAGTTAGTTTACTTTTGAATCAGCATCATCTGTTAAATGTATCTTCCACCCCCTCACCTCCATCCCTTTTATTTTTAAAGTCATTTTGTTGGTAGACAACTTCCAAAATAATGTGAAATAGCAAACATTCTTGTTTTGTTTTGCAAGACTTATTTTTAACTCTCTTAGTGTGGGTGCAGAGTGTCTTGTACTTCAGGGACAGAGGAGCCTACTTCTAAAACACAGACTTACAGGACATCCTCTGAATACAGAGCCTTAATGGAAGCCCCCAACCCTGTGGGATCTAGGGTAGTCAGTTGTCCAGTACACAGATGCTCAGTAGTTGTCCTCTCCCCAGGACTGTGGAGGCTTGTCCAGCTTGCTAATTCTTTCCTGTGGTTGATCACAGTTACTCCATCGCAGCCAGAAGTACCAATATAAGTCCCAAGATCGTTTTTCTTGTTGTTTCTTCATTTTGTTTTTGTCTGTTTTCCTTTGGTTTTCCTTTTCGTTCTCCTTTAGGCCCACTAATTCTGCCCTCTTTTCTCCTAGGATTCTCTCTCAAGAACTCATTTTTATTTAGTGGAAGGAGCTAGTAAAGAAACGAATTCTCATAACTCAATCCAATCTTCTTTTCACCACACAATATGGTTTCTCTCCTGGGTTTAAACAATAACACTATAAGCTACTTCTAAGCTGCCGACTACTTAATCTATTCCTCTATTTGTCTGTTTTCGTGTGGTTCTGTTTTTCTATAGATTATTTTTTACAGATTCAGAATAAGTTCACTGGTAAAACAAAAATAAACAAAGTCAAGAAAATCTATTTGATTAAAAGTTATTTCTGAACCAGCATTCTGATCCACCAGTTAAATGAATAATCTACAAAGTGTTAACAAGGCAGGCAAGGAGACAACTAACAACTTACTTCTTCCATGTTTCTGAGTTTTTTATTTCATACCTGAGACTAAGATCATTTATGTTCTTCTTCTGAGTTATTTTAGTTGATTTTTCAAGAGTGGGTTTGGGTCTTACTTTTTCTTCTTTTTTGTCTTCTAACTTAAGAGCCTTTCGAATTGACAAGATCAGCTCCTAGAATGTACTGTTCATCACTCTCTGTCCACAAAATATCTATTAATCCATGTTTATAAAGCATTAGTCACTTTAAAAATAAATTTTGCATGGTTTTATTACCTTTTAAGGAGAAAAGAGATAAGAGCAGGAGGAACAGAAATGAAACTGGTTTATAAAATGAGCCTTTAAGAATGCATCTTCAAGTTGTAATGGGAGAAGAAAAATACATTTGAAATTAGACCTCATGAGGCTGAGGCGCTTATCCTCTTACCGATGCAGTTGGATGTATTCTCGTGGTCTGTTGAGCAGGTGAAGAAATCTGTCAGCAATCTTGTTCTTTCCTACACCCTGTCAATACATAGAGAACATTCAATAGAAGGAGGCTTTTATTGGGAGGTACTTGTATCCCAAACCAGAATATTTTCAGAAAAACCTACTATCTCCACAGAAAGATAAATACCAGGAAGCATTAAAAGTTCATGGAAAAATTCCATCACCTTTTAATGTTTTTATGAGCATTTGGACAACCTGTTTGCAAAATAGCTATTTGGTCTTATGCCCAGCATGGGAGACTTCAGTTGAGCAAGAGGACATAGCCATAGTAAATATCTATGTACATTAAGAGTCTCAAAATATATAAATCAGACTCTAACAGATTTGAAGAGAGAAATGGCCAACTATGCAGTAATAGCAGGAGATTTTAATACACCATTATCTTTTATTTATTTTATTTTAATGCTTTATTTTGAGTTAGGTTATAGTTTACATGGGAGGACATTAGCTTCACATTGATCCTGTCGTATGTCGTTTCCTTGCCATGGTTACAATCCCCTCCATGCATCATCCACCAACCAAAGGGTATACCCTGCAAGACTGCCCCCTGGTCGTCCACACACAGCCTCTCTTCCTCTCTGAGTCCAAAGTCCCCAGCCACTCCATCTCCCTACGTCATTGTCTCTGCCTCCATCCCTGGCATCACTGCTTCTCTGGGTAGGGTCCTGTTCTCCGCTCTTCTCCCTTGATGGTCCCAGGGACCTATGCTCCTAGACTGCAAAGTTAATCACTCCCCTCTCTTTGCCACAAAACATCTAGCTTTACATTTCCCGCCCTTACAATCAGTCCTGATAACAATTACTCGCTATTGTATCGCAAGAGACCTATCTCCTTTCATCAGCCCCGACTATACAGAATGGCTACTACTCAGTGGAGATGTTACATTGCTCCACACCCTCTGGATCAGTTCCCTCTTGAAAGCTTGTAAGCCAGTCACTTCTTACACCATTATCTTTTAATTCCACAAACTTTTTGAAGTTACTTAGTACAATAACCATAGAGTCAGCAGTTCAAATGCACCAGCTGCTCCAAGGAAGAAAGATGATGTTTTCTGCTCCTATAAAGATTTATAGCCTCGGTAACCCTATATCACAACAACAACAACAACCCTATACAGGGTTGCTAGGAGTTGGAACTGGCTCAACGGCACACCACCACCACCAATATGATGTTGTTGTTATTAAGTGCCATCATTTTCAACTCATAGCAACCCTGAATAGGGTTTCCAAGGAGCAGGTGGTGAGTTTGAACCTCCCACGTTGTGGTCCAGTGCTTATCACACAGCATCACACCAGGATTCCACCAATATTGTTGCTGTTGTTGTTATGTGCCGTGGAGTCAGTTCTGACTCATAGCGACCCTGTACAGGGTTTCCAAGGCTGTAAATCTTTACGGGAGCAGAAAGCCTCATCCCTCTCCTGTGGAACAGCTGATAGTTTCGAACAGCTGACCCTGAAGTTAGCAGCCCGATTCGTAACCACTATGCTACCAGAGCTCCTTTCCACTAGTATTTTTGCTGTTGTGAAGTGCCGTCGAGTCAGTTCTGACCCACAGCGACCCTGTATAGGGTTTCCGAGGAGCAGCTGGTGAGCTTGAACTGCTGACCTTGCAGTTCAAACGGCTTTGAAGTCTGGCGCATTAACCAACAGCGCCCCACCAGGACTAGTATAGAACCCTACTTATTCCTGTTTTAATTAGACATTAATCTCTTTTATCCTGTTTTCCAGTCCTGTAAATCCCTGGAAACCTAAAAGTGTATTCAAGGACTATTAACAAGCATCACCTGTATGTGCTCTTCCTAGAAATGCCTCATTTCCTTACCACTCTGCAAGTTGAGAGGTTGCTGTCCTTTTGTATGAGGCAGACTGTTGTGTGGGAGAAGTGAAAGTGGTTAAGCAGCTGAACTGTAGATCATGCATGATAGCAACAATAACTAACATATATAGCATGCTTGCCTGTATGTGAAGTCTTTTTCACACATCATTTCATTAATCACCATAACAGTGCCATGAGATGGGTATTATGACTATCTGACCTCATGAAGCAAGAAACAGAGTCTCAAAACAACAAGTCCACAGTGGTGCAAGCTCATCATAGTAAAACCAGGACTACTCAAGGCCAGGTCTGTCTGATATTCATGCTTTTAGGCCCCTCATTATGGAGTATGTTTCCGTGAGTTTGAAACTGACTTAGTATATCTGGGCCTTAAATTCTTTCTCTCCCCACTGCCAGGAATCCATCTGAAAGAAATAATTAGGCAGACTAGGGCAGCTATAGCAGAAGCTCAAAAGAGGAAAGTGAGCATTATATTGTTGGGATTTTTTTTTTGTGGTTTTTTTTTTCTCAAATATCTTCTGAAGAAAAGCATGCTAGAAGCACCAAGCAAAAAATTCAGATACAAAGGGATTTCTAAACATTTGTGGAAAAGTTCAGAATCTTTTAATTCCATTTTTTCATGAACTTTTTGAAGTCCCCTTGTCAACTGAGTGGGTATTCCTGGAGCATCATCGGAGTCCTGCTGTGGCACTGTGGGCTAATATGCTGAACCACAAAGTCAGTTGGAACCACAGGGTCAGTGGTCCAAGCTCACCAGCCGCTCCTCGGAAGACCTCTACTGGGTCGCTATGAGTTGGAACTGACTCCATGGCACTTAACAACAACAACAACAACAACAACAATCTTTGTCTAGCACTGTGATAATCCCTCTAAGATAAATGAAGAAAGCAAGCGAGTATCTCACCCTTCACAGTTCTCAAAGAGAGGCAAGACGGATGCACACGGACCAACTAGAAAACAAGTCATCAGAGTAGATAAGTAATGGTAACCTATGGGACACGGATTCTAAAGGCTTTCCTTCAGTATGTTAAACATGCCATGGGATGGTAGAGGCAGGAGAGGTCAGTGGGGCTGAAGTGATTACTGGCTATTTAATGAATAGGAACTGAAGTTGAAAACAAGGAGAGACAGAAGAAGCCCATGGAAATTTACTGTACATATTGAGATCTGGGGAGAAAAACAATGAAATCAATGTTTAAAGAAGATCAATTCGGAAATAATAAGCAAGATATATTGATAAGAGGAGAGACTGATATCCAGGAGGTCAGATATTTATAGATTTAGCATTTAAACAAATATTTATTGAGTACTGACATGAGTAAGGAGAGACAGTGTGAAGAAGAAAGACGAAGTCTCTGCCCTCATGCAGCTGCCATTCCAGAAGTGGGGAGAGAGAGAAATTAGAAGGTAAATTAGAAAAGTAGATAGAAATGCAGGCTGTTCTTGTTGTGTTAAAGACCACTGAGTCAATTCTGACCTGTGGTAACCCAGTATAGAGTTTCCGAGGCTGTAAATCTTTGCTGAAGTAGAAAGTCCCATCTTTCTCCTGGAAAGCTACTGGTGGGTTCACATTGCTGACCCTGTGGATCACAGTCCAGTGCTTATCCCAACAAAAAATAATTAGACAACTTAATAAATAAATAAGATAACAAGAAAATTATCAAGTCATGACAATTTCTCTATAGATAGGACAGGGAAAGCTGATCATTATTGCGTAGCTATATACCATTGATTTAGAAGGGAAGAACTTTCGTTATCTAATTGGTGATCTGAATGGCAGAAGCTAGTACTATGCTGATTAGGAAAAGGTGCATTTCAGGAGTGAGAACTGCTGCAGCTGATCCCCTAAATAGGAATCAATTTGGGATTATCTGACAAATACTATGGCTCATTATGTCAGAGATGAAAGGAGAGTAGAAGAGATGAAGTCAGGCCAAGTGGAGCTTTGTAAATCAAAGTGAAAAATCAGGATTTCATTCTAAGTGTAATGGGGAGCTATTAGTAAATTCTAAGCAAAGATGTGGCCATAAATAATACAGATCATAAAAAGATGATTTTGGTAATCTAGTAGAAAGTAGATCAGAAGGATGGAAGCTGGGAAGCCAGGGAACACTAGTGTAGTAATCCAGAAATAGTAGTTTGGATTATTGTTGTTGTTAAGTGCTGTTGAGTCGGTTCTGACCCATAAAGACCCTGAACAGTGTTTCCGAGGCTGTAAATCTTTACAGGAGCAGAAAGCCTCATCTTTCTCCTGCGGAGCCACTCATAGTTTCAAACTGCTGACCTTGTGGTTCGCAGCCCAATTTGTAACCACTACTCTACCAGAGAGTTGTTGTTGTTGTCAGGTGCCATCGAGTTGGAACCAACTCATAGCGACCCCATGCACAGCAGAACAAAACAATGTCCGATCCTGGGCCAACCTCACTACCGCTGCCACACTTGACACCATCAATGATGTCACCTGGCTGATCCATCTCGTTGGGGGTCTTCCTCTTTTTCTCTGACCCTCCACCTTACCCAGCATGACATCCTTCTCCAGCAACTGTTCTCTCCAGACAATGTGTCCAAAGTATGAGAGACGAAGCTTAGCCATCTTGGCCTCCAAGGAGCACTCTGGCTGCACTTCTTCCAAAACAGATCTATTGGTTCTTTTGGCAGTCCATGGCACTTTCAGTATTCTCCTCTAACACCACAACTCAAAGGCATCAATTCTTCTACGATCTTCCTTATTCACTGTCCAGCTTTCACATCCATATGAGGTTATTGAAAATACCATGGCTTGGGTCAGGCGCACCTTAGTCCTCAAGCTGACATCTCTGCTCTTCAATACTTTAAAAAGTTCCTGTGCAGCAGATTTGCCCAATGCAATACGTCGTCTGATCTCTTGACTGCTGCTTCCGCGAGTGTTGATAGTTGATCCAAGAAGAATGAAGTCCTTGACAACCTCTATCTCTTCTCCATTGATAAGAATGCTGTTTAATGGTCCAGTGGTGAGGATTTTTGTTTTCTTTACATTGAGTTGTAATCCATATGTAAGGCTGTGCTCTTTGATCTTCATCAGTAAATATTTTAAGTCCTCTTCACTTTCAGCAAGCAAGGTTGTATCATCTGCATATCTCAGGTTGTTAATAAGTCTTCCTCCAATCCTGACGCCATATTTTCCTTCATAGAACCCAGCT